CATTAATTCATAGTATGAATGTATCGAAAGAGTTAAAAGGGTGCTCTTAACCCGAGTTCAAGGGTGAATTTGAGGAAGGTTCTGTTGTTACAGACCTTTGATTAAATGATATGAAGATAATGTTAGAAGGTTTTCACTGCTCCGAAGTGGAGAAATTAGATGGAGTAGTTTCGTTACTACGTAGACAAGCTAGAATATGGTGGACAAATGTCACCGTAAGAATGATTCAAAAGAGTCTTCTAGCTGTCATTAAACTCTTTTTCCTTTATACGGACTATTAAGGCGTGCCCACGCCTTAACTGAAGACTTCTTCTATGATAGCTCAGGATGAATAAGCCGTACCCACGTCTCATGCGAAAACTTCTTCTGGTCTTGCCAACTTCTTGAATTATGATTTTCCTTCTTAATTTGAGGAAAATATCATAGAATATATGAGTTGGAAGCAAGGGAATTACACCGTGTATGGGTATGAATGTAAGCTTAATAAGTTAAACATATTTGTAGCTGAGTTATTAGTGAATCAAATGGTTATGAGTTAGATTGAGAATAAATATCAAGTCCATAAAACTTGATAGAGTTACCTTTTGAAGGTAAATTTACGAAAATGGATTGTATACCATTCCATGTGGCAATGAATTATTGTTTAGATTGAGATGGAATCTCAAGAACTTGAAAAGTGTCAAGTTCGTAATGATAAGGAAAAAAATAAATTTGTTTACTAGTGTAATTTTAGCATTAACTGCTAGGAAGTTATTGCTATAAATTGTTAATTCTTTTTATTGAACAATGTGGACATTTAGATTTTCATTTGATATGGAAAATGTTTCAACTGTTCGAGAATAATTTCTATGAATCTGGAAAAGTTATACAGATTACCATAGGAATGAAATGAGGAATTCTAAAGTAGAGATATTCAATTCAACTTGATAAAAAGTGTTATTATGGCAGAAGACCTATAGGTCATGATACAAGTGTTAGTCTGACAAATAGTAAATATCCGATAAAGATTCAGGAGCTTATGTTACCGGTAAATATTATGGGATTATCATTAACGAGTTTTAGATCATTTGATCATAAGTTGGTTGTCTCTGCATTAAGGTTGGGTTAATGGTCGCAAGAAGTGATTAATTTAGAAAGATGCGGAGAAATTAAAATTTTTAATGAATGATGAAAAAGTGAAATCATCACTAACGTGATATCAACAATGGTTGAGATTAAGATGATGTAAAAATGATGCTTAGCTTTTCTAGCTAAGGTGATAGATACTCAAGTATCTTAAATAAGATCATATGATATTTCCATAACTTGGGAATTTCCATATGTCTTTTTAGATTTATTATTTGAGTTACCTCCAGATTGAGATATGGAATTCAATATTTAGGGTTATCAAGGCATTGATCCTGTATCTATGGGTTTGTATCGAATAGTTGCGATTGAGTTGAGAGAATAAAGAACCCGTTGTAAGAACTGCTAAATTGAGGATTCTTTAGACCAAGTATTTTACCTTGGGGTGCACTGATGTTGTTTGTGAAAAAGAAAGACAGGTCTATGCGATTATACATAGATTGTTGACAGTTAAACAAAGTAACTATCAAGAGAAAGATAATTCAAAAATAGTTTTCAAGAAACGGTATGGACACTACGAGTTCGTAGTAATGCTGTTTAGTTTGACAAAGGCTCAGACAACATTTATGGATTTGATGAATCGAGTGTTTCAAATTTTACTCGGATTAATTTGAGGTGGTTTGTATTGATGACATTTTGGTATACTCGAAGACAAAGATAGAGCATGATGCTTATCTTCGTACTGTGCTCGAGATATTTAAGGGTAAAAAGTTATATGCCAAACTGTCAAAGTGTGAGTTTTGGCTGTCAGAAGTTGATTTTCTTGGTCATGTTGTCTCTGCAGAAGGCATAAGAGCTAAAAAAAACTAAAAAAAGAAAGAAGAAAAAAAGAGGAAAAAAACAAAAAAAGAAGAAAAAACAAAAAAAAATGAATGAAAAAAAAGAAAAGAAAAAAAAGATGAGAGATGCTTAAAAAAATATTTCACTTGTGAAAAAGATGAGACTAAATACTTTAAAGTCAAGTCTGATGGGTGTTTATTTTATCGAGGGAGAATTTGTATTCCTCATAATGATAAGTTGAAGAAAGATATTATTTCTGAGCCACATTATAGTCCACTGACTATACATCCAGGTGGGAACAAAATGTATCAGGATGTAAGAGTCATTTTGGTGGACGGTTATGAAAAGAAACATTACTGAGTTTATTGCTAGATATTTGACATGTCAGCAAGTTAAAGTTGAATATCAAGTTCATTCAGGATTATTGTAACCAATCTCTATTCTCCAGTGGAAAATGGAGAATGTGACGATGGACTTTGTGACGGGTTTACCTCTAACTCCGAATAAAAGAGATTCGATTTGGGTGATAGTTGATCGATTGACCAAGTCAATATATTTCATTACTGTTCGAGCTGATTTTTTATTCTGAGAATCAACCATCATAGCAACATCGTCATCGTTGGAGAGCTCGAATGTTGTATAAGTTAACGGAAATACTACGGTTCAAAATTTGTATTGAAGTGAGGATATCTTCTAGTACTTTCAACATGAACCTTCCTTGAAATTTTAGTGATCAACTCCTCAAGAGTGATGTTTTTCTTGAAGGATATTTTGACAGAATGGTTTGATGCGAAGACAGCGCAAGTTTCATCTTCCCGAATTTTTCTATCATAATAAACAATAGCTGAAATACGCCTTATTTTGAGAGTTTGAAAGATTGAGAGTCTTATATATGCAAAAACAATAGCTGAAATACACCTAATTAAATAAATAATATATGAATTAAAATATAAACTAATGCTAAAAATTAAAAAAATCATAGTAAATTAAATAACATAATTTAATATTTGCAACAAAATGTCTCGAGATTTGATCCCACCTTTCATTTTACAATCGTAAATAATAATATGAAATAGTTAGTACAAAAAATTTGGCCAAATAATTAAATATAAAATAAATATAATATAATAAAAAATAATTTTACCTTCTAAGAACTATAACATAATCTACTTATCTTGATAAAAGGAATTGATAGAAGAAAGAATGTGAAAGTAATTTTTGGTGTGGTTTGATGTTTGCATTCGGGTGTATTTATAGGGGAAGGGGATGAGTGAGTCGCCGAATTTTAAGGCTCATGTCATAATGGAGTACCAAATAATTTAAGGTAAATAATAGAAGGTGTGGATGGTGATCCGCGCCTTCCGCCGCGTGTTAGCTTTACCACAAAGGCAAGGATTGTGATCCGCGCTTTGCCCTCGTGGCGCCAGCTCGGACGAAAACCCAGACGCGTTTGGTGATCCGCGCCTTTCGTCCATGTCAACAAATAGATGTTAGATTGTTAAAATTTGGTCAATGTGTGTCTAACATATAATTATTGATTATTTAGGTGTTTTTTTTGGGTAAAAACGACGGCTAACCTAGATTGAGGTCAGTTGTGGTGGATAACTTTCATTCAAGAATGAAAAAAAATCAATTTGATTTGATTTTAAAAATAATTTTTTATTCGATTTTTTTCAAAAAAAAACTTGAATTGGATAATTTTGAGTTATACTTTTGTAAATTCAACTAATAAAATTTTAAATTGGAATTAATTTATGATATACAACTCGAATAATTTAAATAAATCAATTTTTTTAACAATTAGTAGATTAGTTTTCAAGTTTGAGTAAAGTCCATTGACTTGTATGATATAGGCACATCACATATAAAAAATGAATAAATATATATGTATTGTATATGGTTATAGAAAATCGTTTAAATTAGAATTAGATAGTATCATAATATTATAAATGTTTACAATTAAATTTAAATAAAAACTTGAACAACTTGACTGACTTAACTAGAATTTTATAAACTTAACTTATTCGAAAAAATTTCACTTTGACTTAATGGTTGAGCCCACCCATGGATCAGCTGATGAGGTGCCGAAATTTGTTTTGTGGGAAAGTCAAGTGAAGGTTTTGTTTCCTTTGGGCTTTTGACTTTGGAAGGTCCTTTGGTGCTTTTAGTAATTTTACTTTTTGGCTGGGAAGTCAAGTGAAGGTTTTGTTTCCTTTGGGCTTTTGACTTTGGAAGGTCCTTTGGTGCTTTTAGTAATTTTACTTTTTGGCTGCTTGAAAGGCAAGATTGGTGGAAGAATGAATACTCGGCCGCCACTCTAAAAACACTCGATTATCTTTCAATTCCAACTGCCATACTAATGGGAGTTTGCGAGCTGGAATTTGAGTGAGAATTGGATCAGATTTTACTTTTGATTAATCATTGTTGGTAATGCATTAACTAATTTGGGTAAGTTGGGGGTACAGTTATTGCAAAGCACATGCCTTTTCCCTTTCTTAAAATCATTTCCAATTCTTGTCAATGACAGAAAGAAACTTAAACACGTTCATACCATTAATTCAGTTGCAAAGCACATGATAACGTGATGCACTTAAAGGAATGGATATTTGATCCGACTCCAACAAATTCAGATTTGATCCGATTAACTTTTTCCTTTTTTAAAAATTCAGATCCGAATCAGTCAAATTCTTTCGAAAGAATGAGTTGAGTTTGAGTTTATAATGAAAAAAAACCTAACTCTACCTGATGTAATACTATGATTACCCCTTTATCTGTTGAGGGATTTTTACAATAATATAATTCTCTATATTATTTTTTTCCAATTAGATTTCTATTTTACATAATAGAAATAAAAAATATACAAATATATTTGCACCGGATCGGATTGCGTACAAGTACAGGTTTTCACTTAAAAATCGGGTATGATTTTTGGATCAAATGAAATCCTCTTAAACTCATGACGGATCAAATCAGATGAAGATGTTTAACTTTAGGATCAGGTTTAGGTGAACCAAAAACCAGACCTAAAACATGGCCATCCCTAGAGGCTAGAAGGACTTTTAGCCAACCCTTACCAGTTGTTTTCTGGGATGAAAGTGACATGTTTTTATTTGGTGAAATAGAAAACGAAATGAAAGGGAACTGACCTTGAAATCTTAATGAAGTCCAGGTCCATCCTTCCCTGATTGACCAGATGCTCGAGTACCAGATACATTTGGTTTATTCTTTTCCTTTACAAATGCATGCTCATGAACATTTGCAGCAGATAAATTTCACAACTGGTACGATTAGGGAAAACCTATTTCTTTCTAGTATCAAATGGCACAATTGCAGATTCTGAATTCTGGGTATCAGCACTGTCCCGAGCATAAAGGATATGAAAAGTATTTACCCAATTGCTGCATCATAGAAGTAAAGTTCAGCAGTAAATTAAAAAAAGGAAAAAGGATTTGGTACCTAGACAATTAAGCATATTTTCAATAGCAATTATCACCAAACTCGTCACACAACTCAAACTTATATTCAACCAAAGAGTTAAGATAATCACTTCTATTGACCAGAAGAAGAACAGTACCCGGTAACATTGTAGTTTTTGGTTGCAGCAGATACAGCAAGATCAGACAGGGCCTCAGGCTTAGGCCTGGTCATGCCAGCGACTGTTACAGCATCATTAGCTTCCACCTTTCAAAGGAAAAAAGGAATAAACGTTATGTTCGAATGACTGCTCACTTACCGTTCAAAGCAGACACTATTCACACTTTATCTTACTACATGAAAGGAAAAAACAAACCTAGCCACACAATGGCAGCTTCAAATATAGATTGTCAATTCACTTACTGGAGTGAATGTCTTCTCATGCTCTTTTACCTTAAGAATTCGTTCACTCAAGGATAAAGACAGTGTCATGACAATACGGGGGCACCTAGGGAACACGAATATGGACACACAATAAGGGTAGATGATACCTTGCTTTCTACTCCCCACCCTTTTCAGCATTTAGCTCTCCATTCTGTTTTCTTATTCTTCTTTATGGATTTCAAGCATTTCACTTCCTTCAGACGTTTTTTGTTCATTGTCCATTTAGTTCTTCAAAAAAAAAAACGGTGGAGAAAAACTCTTTTATCATGTTCCTGGCTGTGTATTGATCTATTTTGACCATGTCCATTTTTTCCTTTTTGGTGTCCTTGCCTATCCAAGACTGAGTACACATTGTTCGTGATTCTGAAATTCAAACATTCGTACACGATATACATGGTTTTACTCTAGTATGTAACAGATGTTAATTTTTCATATTTACTAGAATTTTTAATCAGATATTGCAATTTTACTTTGGAGATCTAGAAGAAAGAAGTTCAGTCGCAAACGCAGCAATGAAAAGACGCCAAAAGCTGGGGAACTTACAGTGTTGATAAGGTCGATGATGACGCAGAGCTCCTGGTGAGCCTTCTCAACTATGCCGAGGCATCTCGGAGCTCTTCTTCTCTTTTTTCTCGTCCACCGCCCACGATAAGTCTATTCTCCGTATAAGCGATGGCCGCTTCTCATCGTAGCTCGAATCTCTATATAATTAAGAAATTCAATAGCAAAAAGGAAAAAAAAGGACATCAGCACGGATCAGTAAGGAAACAAAGGAGAACTTGATCAAAGAGAGAAGCTTACGGAGGGTATCGTTCGATGGCGTTTCCTTCGATGGCGTCGAGGCGATTAACGGGAAGTTATCCAAGGAGATCTCTAGATTTCAGTCCATATTTAATATTCCCGGGAAAATCTGAGGGAATTTTTCTGAAACGAGCCCCGTCCCAATTGCTCTGGTTTGAGATTTGGCATAATCCAAAAATAATCGATTACTTGTTTTAGGATAAACTATAAGTTTAGTACCTAAACATTACATTTGTTCTGTTTTGATATCTAAGCTTTATCTTCTCAAAATCATACCTAATATTTAAGTTAGGTTTCATTTTGGTACCCCAAACATTAAAAACTTAACGGTGATATTGACGTGTCACCGTAAAGTAATTCCATGTCATCATTGAATTTTCTTTTTAAAAATGTCACATTAGTAGTTATGTTGATTTTTTAACGGTGAGTACCAAATTGAAATCTAAACTAAACGTTAGGTATATTTAAAAAAATAAAGTTTGAGTACCAAAATAGAACAAAAGTAATAGTTTATATACTAGTACGTAATTTACCCTTTGTTTTATGCGATTAATTTTTTTAGGTAAACTATACAATTGGTCACTAATGTTTGAGTAAGTTTTCATTTCCCCACTAAAGTTTAAAAAGTAACAAGTTTGACCACTAATGTTGTTGATTTATAACAAATCACTCACGCGGGGTTAATAAATGGTCACAGTGGTGGCTTGATTAATATCATTTAAACAATTAAATTATATGATTGATAAAAGTAAAAGATCGATGATTATATTAGAATCTTCCACAATTAAGTGATCATGGATACCTATTTTTTTAAAATATCAATTAATATTATATAATTTTCTTTTTTATCCTTTAGTACCCAAATTACATTACAAAGGAAATAATGGAGAGCTCTTGGAAAATAAAAGAAACCAATCTCTACATATAATGAAATCCCAATAAACACATATGTTTGGGGTTTGTACCCTCTCAAACACACATTTTCAATGCAATATGTGGAAATTTAACACCAAAATAAATAAAGTAAACACACATAAATGGAATCACCATACCCCATGGCACACAAGCTATATGTTGTACATGGTCAATACTAACATTTGTTTGATCTTCTCTTCTTGGCTCCTTCCGGTTTACCAAAAATCCCACAAAATCCACAACCTGAGACCCTAGGTGAAGGAGGATCGAAGCTAGGCGGCGGCTCCTTCATCGTCGGCTGGTACATGTTCTCATCGCCTCCGTTGGATCGACTATGTTGATTGTTGAGCTTCATTTGGTTCAAGTCTCCTGATAAAAACTTGTCGTCCCATATCAACCCGGACGACCCTTGTCGCCTGAACGACGTCGTGGACCGCTGCAAACCACTCTGCTCCATTACTTGAACTGCAATTCTTGGTGCTCCTAGAGGAAGTTAATCCTGGGGTTTGATGTTCAGATGCCACTTTTTCAATGTATTTATAAGTGGGGAAGATGACAGAAGAATAAAAGAAAATTCATAAAATGGTGACTAAATATGTGTAAGAATGGGGATTTTTGGTCCTCCATTTTTGCAAACTTCTAAAGCACCGAATCAAATACTGTTGGACCACAACAAACAGTTGTAGTCTTTGGTCCGAAATTTGGAATATTGAAGGTGGCCGGCTTATATAAATATATACAATAAATAATCTTAAACAAGAATGCTAATTAGTGGTGTTTTTAAACTAATGTCATCTATTTTATCTTTTTCCTGTTAAGTCATAAGAAATCCGAAAATATAAATAAAAATTAGTTCATTTATTCCTACTGGAGCGTTGACATGAGCATCTCTTCCTATAGTTTTTTAATATTTTTAAAAGAATAAAATATTTAATGTCAACATTTTAATAAGTAGGACTAAACTGACTAAACTAGTAGAGTTAAAGGGGCCAAAAGAATCATTCCATCAAAAACTTATATAGTTGTAAATTAAAATAATGATGAACTATATTTTGATATTTAAGAAATTTAGTATAATTTAATTCTAACCCCTAAAGTAATTTTCTGAATTTACAACGTTAATTGGTCACTGAATTTACTACGTTAAAGCCGAAAGCTATGAATTGAGGGTTTATTAATAGCCAATTGTTTTTTACTATTGTGTTGGGTTTAGGTTCGGACATGGGTTAGATTGGATGTGTTTTCAGTTACTTGAATCTGATTTGAGTATTATATTTTTTTTATCTATTAGCTTATTTAATTTAGGTTTAGAGAGGTTTCATATTACATATATAATCCTATTTTATTCCATAAAATAGAAATTTAATTAAAAAATTATAAATAAGTGTAAAGCCGAAAGCTATGAATTGAGGGTTATTAATAGCCAATTGTTTTTTACTATTGTGTTGGGTTTAGGTTCGGACAGGGTTAGATTGGATGTGTTTTCAGTTACTTGAATCTGATTGAGTATTATATTTTTTTTATCTATTAGCTTATTTAATTTAGGTTTAGAGAGGTTTCATATTACATATATAATCCTATTTTATTCCATAAAATAGAAATTTAATTAAAAAATTATAAATATAAGTGTGTTATTATTATTATATTTGAATATATAAAGGATAAGTCAGATTGAAATTTTTGTTGTAAATTTAAACCAGACTCAAGGCTAATTTTTTTTTTAAAAAATAACCATATAAAATCAAGTCGGGCCAAGTTACATGCACATCCCTATCAGTATTACAGTCGCCTAACTCCTAAACTTTTGGCCTAAGGTGGCCTAACAATATAGATTAGAGAGAAAATAACCTAATGGAAAGAGGGTGATTTATGGTGTAACAAAGATAGATGTTGTTTGTTTACTTCAGAATGATTAAGCGCTGAATGATTCAAATGCTAAATGATTCAGAGGCTCTATATGAATTAGCTCTGAATGTGACATGTTGTTTGATAATGGCTCTGAATCATTCAGAATGTACTTCTATGCTGAATCATTCAGCACTGTTTTGTTGAATCAGCCATCACTGAATCATTCAGAGGTGAGAAACAAACAGTCTGAATGTTGAACGGTTCAGCATTCAACGCTGAATGGTTCCATTCAAAGCCAAACAAATAGCCCCATAGTTTGAGGATGACAATTGGAACCTAGTGTCCACATGGCATGGTTCTACTGAACCGTCACACCATCACTGTCACATGGAAAAAAGATGAATAATAATTTGACTAAACTACATAAATATGTCCCCGAACTTTTAGAGCATTTACATTTTGATCACCCAACTTTTAAAACTTGCACTACAGTCGCTGAACTTTTAATTCATTTTCATTAAAGTCCATGACATTACCTCTTGTTAGTTTGTAATCCTAACGTAGCACATTACCTCTCATTTTCAGCTTAATAAAATAAACTTTTAACCCATTTAAAATTAGCCGACCCTTATTCCCATATGTAATGGGGTAAGAGGAAGGTAAGATAGTAGGCTGCCCCCAACGCCAGGTTGAGAGCAGCTTCCGTAGGAGACCTCACCTAAAATTGATTGAAAACCTTAAAAGTTAAAATTTCCTTTCTCTTAATTTCTCTTTGTTTGATCAATAATTTCTAACAATGGATACACCACCAATTGCAATCCCAACATGTTTTTGTTGAATGTCAGCTACCTTGCACACAATTTGGAGGAATAATAATGCTAGAAGGATGTTCTTTGGGCGCACTAACTATGGATGTGCATTTATAAGAAATTACAAAAATTTTATTTGGTATGATCCACTATTGAATCCACGTTCACGTGTTGTTATCGTTGGTTTGTTAAGGAAGATGAGAGTCATGGAGAGGAGAAGAATGTTTGAGCGAGTGATTTGGGTGGTTTGTTTGCGAGTTTTGTTGTAGTTGATTATCGTGGGTTAAGAAAGAGGTAATTTTGGATTTAGGGATATTGTTTGTTTCTTGTGTTTGTTGTTTCAAGTTCATTTTGGTGAGTTAGAATTTGAACGTGAATCTAGAAATTGAGGTTCATCATATAATTGAAGTGTTTAAGGACATGAATCAAATTTGCCATTGTGCATCTTTCAATGTTTGCTTATATTTTTTTGTTTATATTTGTGTGTGTTTATTTCAATATGAATTAGCTATGTGTGAGTGTTTATTTCAATATTGTTAGTATTGTTCAATTGACAACCGAAAAATTGCCAAGAGGGGGTGAATTGACTTTTTGAGAATTTTAGGGAGTAAGGATAATTAAAGGGATAGAAAATTGTTGCACAAGGGTTTATAGTGGTTGAACTTTCTCATCCAAAGTCTACATCCACTACCTAAGCTCCTCACTTAGGATTTTCCGACAAATCCACTAATTTGTTCTTTCTTTTTCAAGGACAAATAAATAACCTTTACAAACTCCCTAACTTTTCAAAGGCTTAGCTAGAGCCAAAACTTCAAAAGGATAAAAGAAGTAAACAATAAAACCTCTACAAGGTAGGGTGTTTACAAATTAAAGCTCACAAGAACAAAATATTTACAAGAGAAAGTAAAATATGAATGAAAAACTCTTATGTTGTGTTTGATTGCTTGGATAGGTGTTATTCAACTTCTTCAAGTGTCTTGAAGTTGTATTTATTAGTTGGAATGAGGTTGTGGTCATTTCTAGCCGTTGGTGATGATTTCTAGCCATTTGGGGATGTTTTTTTTTTTGCAAAATAAAGCTGCCCAGGACAGAGGGTATCGGTACTCTTATAGGGAGTATCGGTACTAACTTTGTAATATTTAAATAAAACTAGCCATTGGGCCTGACGGTATCGATACTATCCTTCATGGTATCGATACTACTATATAAAGTAGTATCGGTA